TTCTTTAATTTCGATTCCGAAGCTGTATCGACTATCGCGCGGCAATTTAAAATTTAACACGGATCCACTGTTGTGGCATTCGGTTACGTTTTACACTGCTGGGACAGTTGGGAAGAGGGACAATAAGCGTGTATAAGGATGAAAAATCGAACTCGAATAGGGGACCAATATTTTCGAATAATTATTCCAAAAATTTTATCGAATGCCCCTGTGTGAACTTTAAAATCTCCGATCTTTCGTGACATGTCAAACGATATATTCTACTCTTTTAGTGGTAAAAGGAAGAAATAATTCTATACGAAAATCTAAGTAAAAGAGGAAATTTTTGCAACACACTGGTTCAATCTCTCTATTTTAACTGACTACGGAAAATTTAATTTATTACGCAAAAAGAAGAACGAAGAGATTGGCTTAAGTTTGACTATAGTTAGACGTATGTACTTACATTCTTTCGACTACATATCACAGTTGGCTAAATATTATAGAATTTCGTTGAAGTCATTTACACCTTATGCCTACAAGCTTATTAGCTGACTGTTAAGTTAGTAGTACTAGTGGTGAGGCCAATCTACTAATTGACTGACATTTTTCTGTGCTCTCTACTGTACTTACATGGCACCACTGTCAAGAAACATTTCTTTGTAATTAGCTGGGTCAAACATTATCCCAGTTTTTGCTTAACATCCTACACATGGTGGGATATACTTTAATCCATCTCGAAAAATTGAAGTTACTCACAGCTACACAATTTGATATTTTATTTAAACTTCTTCGATCAGTTGGCAAAGCTTCGGTAAAAAGACACGTTCCAATAATTTTAATTTAAAAAATTAATTGGATAATGAGATTACGTATGTCCCATTCTATAATGTTCTATTCAACTAGACTTCCAATTTTCTATAAAATCGTGTTTCTCAGAAAAATAATATATAAAATCCAAACCTAACTTGTCCAAACCACATTCCGTCGAACCATCTCCAGAGTCCCATTTCGAACGTCAAAATCGCGTCTCGGTACCCCCCGTTCCGCGACCCACAAACGCAAAACCAAAAGGACGATCCACGGTGCACTTGGGGGAAAAACGAGAAGCGCTGAAAGTGGGGATGAAGCGGCGGAAGAAGCAGAAAGTCGAAGGAGCGACTGGAAGGAAAAAGCCACGGCCACGTCGTCCGGTTGTTGTTTTTGTTCCGGCGCGGAGGAGGAGTACGTGACGGCGCGCGACTAGCGAAAGCTGCGCAAAAAAAACCGCAACGTGGAACCCGGACGGTCTGTAAAAATGGAGGAAAAAATCCGGGGAAAAAAAATAGCGAACCGATCCCCACCACTTGTCCCCCACCCCTGGTCGGCCGGCAGCGGTGGCAGGGGTGGAAATGAAATCGACAGGGCGTCCACCTATCGGTCCGATGGCACGTATACAACAACACGATCGCATACACGGAACGCCTCCCACACGACCCCGGCGATGCTTTGTCCACGTGTGTCGCGATACGCGGAACGGGCGCGACCACAACGCCGCGACGCTGCACGCACGCTCCCTCTGCGGCTGTGTGTGCGCGCGTGTTGACTGAACGTGTGTACGCCGACATAACTAAACAAGCAACAAGTGACCTTAAAATCTGCGAATAAAAATACCGGCCACTGATCGGGTATCGTGCGCAGCTGCGAGCTGCCGGTGGCGAAGGGGTTGCAGGGTGTGTTTCGCCGTGCCAAGGAACCACCGGCAACCCGTTGCCGCGTGTAAACACTGGGATCGTAGTTTGAAAAAAAAAAAAGAAGAAAAAAGAAAAAAAGGAGAGTGAAAGAAGAAAAAAGAAAAAGAAAGAAGGAAAAAAGAAACCGTTACTGGCAATGTCAGTTGCGCTTTCCTTTTTTCCCTCCACCCCTTAGCCCGCGCGCTCTTGTTTCTGTCAATAGGAGGAAAGTTTTACCAATCGGTTACGCGCGCGCGTGACTCGAAATCGGTATCGTTGATTGATTCGCGCCTGTGTTCGTGTCTACGCGTGTGTGCTTCTCTTTCCTTAGTTTCCTTTATTTTTCTTTTTTTTTTTTTTTTTTTTTTAATTTGGGAAGGGGTACCGGCTTTTTCCCCTCTTTTTCGCTGTGCTTCTTTGAGACGCGAAATTGGTACGCGGCATTGCCGAGTTAATCGCCGGAGTTATTCACGGTGGTAATTGGTGTATACGCGCGTAGTCGAGCCGTAACGTAGGCACCGTGCCTTGGTAAAGAGCGCGTAGAGTGCTTTGCATAATGGGAAGCAAAAATCGAGCGGCGAACAGGGGTGGAAATTCTAACGAAACTGCGTAATTCGTCGAGCACTCGATAATAATATCGTTACTTCGCGAGTGACGGGAATAGGACGGCGGGTGGTACTCGATCGTCGGTATCGGACCCGCGGTAAGGGTTTTAAATCGCGGAGCCTTGAGAAAAGGGGTTGGCTGGATTGTTCGGCGCCGATTCGGTCGATCGACCGGCCGCCTCCTTTCCATTCCGCGGCAACAGCTGTTTTTTCCCCGAAAAAGGGAAACAGGATTCGATCGCGGCACGAGATATGAAATTAAAGAGCAACAAGTGACCTCAAAATGAACGGAACATAAAAATGCGAACGGCCGATCGAGAGTTTTACGCGGTTCAATCGAACTCAAAGAGGCGAGCGAGATGATTCGGAAAGGGGGAGGACGTGGGGTTAGAGTGAGCCGAGAGGTGAAAAGGGGTGAGTGCCGACACGAGGGGTAATGCGTATAGATAAATACTTAGGAGTCACGCTGCTTTATTGACCATTTCTGACGTCATCGGCGACTACAAAGAAAGTGGACCCCTCTCGGGCTCGTATCACGGGGGTTGAAACGAGGGGTACGGAGTTTTCATCAGAATTAAAAGCACAAACATCGGGATCGCGGGGCTGTTCGGACGAAATTAAACGAAATCTTTCCTCCTCCGGAAAAAACTACCCCTAAACTCTGTCAAGATCTAAATGACCGCTTGCAAACTTTTCATAAAAATTCCACCTACTTTTCGTCTAATATTCCATCTATTTTTTTTGTATTTCAAGTTGCTTCATTTTCCCATCCGTCGATTATCCGTCGGGTCGTGGTAGGTTTAGCGTTAATAAATAAATTGTTATATAAATCGCGGTGCGCGAATCGATTTAAAATTTGAACGTTTAAAAATAAATGCTGGCAGCATTCACGCGAATGAAATAAAATACGCGGGCGAGCGAATGGGGTAAAGGGAAATATTTCTACAGGGTATGAAAGATAATAACGGGTTAAAAAGAGAAATCGCTGCGATAGAAACGCTTACAAAGAGCGGAAGGTCTTTGATTCGAGCCGTTTCTACGTTAGTTCCAATATCAGCCGTCTAAGCAAGAGCTCGCCACTGTCCAGCGACCCTTTCACCAGCACAAGCAGCTTTCAACCCCTTAGCGCACACGGATACGTCTCCACAGACGGGGGGTGATTTTTCTTTGGAACACCGACACAGTCTCGCGCCGTCTCACCGTCAGGTACACAGACTCGATACTCGCGTGCATCGGTGGGGTTGCGCGTATCCTCCTTTCACCCCGAAAGGGATGGCTACCCTCTCTTTTCTCGAGGATCGCGCATGACCGAAATCATTCGCGCTCTTCCTCGCGCTGCCTACGTTCAAGCAACGTCAAATGAACCGCTCTTTCCACCGAACGCGAAACTACTCGATTGTTATCGTTAACGTCACCGAAACTCGTATCGGTGTAAAAATGGAAAAAAGGAAAGGGTGCCAGGTGTATTTTCAATCGATCCAACTCGCCGTAAAGCGTCCGCTCTGACGCGACATTAGCCGAAAACGGCGATAATGCGAGGCGTAATGTCTGATTAAAATCGAATTATTTTCCTTTTGCGAGATTAAAATTATCCGCGTCTGTACGAACCGTCTCGGCCTGCCTAATTTCCGCTGCATTCGTTCGAAGCTTGCACGCGTCCAGCCTATCCGATATCAGCGTATAACCATCGCCTCGAAAGCCCCCGTTACACCTCGACGTAGACGCGCACACGTACACGGGGCCAGCGTGATAAAGTAGAAAAGCTCTCTGTTCCTGTTCATCCGGCTGCGACGCGTTTGTCCGTCCTTGTCGGCGGTTCACCGTCGCGAAGCATACGAGCGCGTGGTCAGCTTGCGAGAAAGCTCTCCGTCCTCCCAACGGTGTCTATTCTATCATCCTCTTCGTCTTCGTCCACACCAGTCGCACGGCTGGCCTTGCCTCTCTCTCTCTGGCCGGCCGCGCTACCGCAAGCTCCGTCTCCGTCTCCTGAACGCTGGCCAGTCGAGTACGTCTCGGACGAGTTCGGGGATGCTCGTGTCGTTCGCAGTCGTCCTCGTTGCGCCCTCGTGGACGTCACGGCGCGTCATCTTCCTCTCGCAATTTATCCCCTTCTCCCGGCGTAACCTGTTCACCCACCACCGACGATTCCGTCGCAAGCTTCCACGATCGAGATCCTCCTCGTCGCACAAACGACTCCCCCGTTGATATCGTCTTCCTCTGAATTCATTCAGGGCCGGCTGCTGGCCCCTGGTTACCCTATCCAACCAACTCCGCCGACTTCACCGCCGATCCACGCTACAAAACGCGTACTCGAAACCCGCTACGATTACCAAAAAATTTCACCCAACCCCGATCCATGCCAAATCTCCCCTCGAAGGGGCTACGTTCTCGCGAAAAGCGTCGCGTAGGGTAAAAATGAAAGCCGATGGAAAAGATGGGGGAAAAGAAAAAGAAAAGGGGACGAACGACAAGGAAGCAACGATAGGTGAAAGGTTGGCGCGAAACGTCTGGCATAAATCTTGAATTTTGCCGGGGCAGTCGGAGCGGGTGCCGCGTAGCCGGTGCCAAGGGGCGGTCATGTCCTCGTCGTTCGGTTCGTCCCTTCTTTCTCGCGTGGCGAACGTTGGGGCATAAGTGAGCCTTTGTCGCGCATCCGGCGTTCACTTTCTCTGTTGTTCGGTCGGTCGGGTCCGATCGCACTCGCGCTGCTCTGGCAGCCCGTTAGGAGAAGCAGGCGGCGAGCTTTCGCGTGCGAACGACAGGGGAGCCACCGTCCGGGGCAGCGGCCAAGAGGGGCCACCGGCTTGCCTCCGCTGCTGGCCGGCGCGCGTGTTTCTCTCCCTTCGGCTTACAGCATCCGCCGGAGCTTCTCCTCTCTCCGCCTACGCGGTGCGAGTGTGCCGTGTGCGCCAGTGCGCCCGCAAGCCCGCAAGTTCGCGCTCCGCCACGCAGCCCAAGCTCTCTCTAGCCGCGCGCTGATCGGCCACGTTCGTCAGCCGGGCCCCACGCAAAAAGGCAGCGGGGCCGCGCGCGAGCCGACTGGACACACACGACGGACGATTTCTTACCGTGATACAAGAAGACGCTGTTAACACGCACGAACGAACGAACGTACGAACGGGCCGGGCCGGTCTTTGGCGAGCAGCGCGTCAAGGCAAACAGTCTCAAGGAAACGATCATTCTTACACGTACTCTTATTAACATTCTCGCTCGCCGCTCGAGGAAACAGTTCGACGACGTGGTTGTGACACGTAACACGAGTGAAACACTCGAAACACGCGCGCTCCGACCGAACCTCACCACGAGACCGCAACGAAGAAACGGGCAGTGACTGTGAGGAAACGAACAGGATATCACGGACCTCTATCCAGTGCGCTGTTTTCGTTTGTGAATCACCGTTTACGCACGTCATCGAACACGTCTTCTTGGGATCGCCGCGATCGCACAGGTGAGTCCACCTACTCCAACCATCGCCAGGATTTTTGCACTTTCCCTCTTGATCTTTGCTTCGTTCCCACCCCTCGGCCACGGGAACGCGATTAGATTGTCATCGGGTATTACTCGGATCTTTCCAACGGAACGTCGTTGAAACGCGTCGAGGAAATGTCCTTTGCTACGAGTCTTCCACGTCTTCCACGAAGATTAGAGAATCGTCGCCAACTGTCAAACCGGTACTGACCTACGGGGATCCTCGGTTTTCCCAATATCGCGTTTCAAATACCTCGAAACCAGTAGCAGTGTTTTCATTTCCTTGAATCCGTGCTTGCTTTCTCTCGCGACGTTTAGCAACGTGATCCAAGGGACCTGTTCGGTGTCAAAGATCTCGGCGTGTCCGATGAACCTTTACAGCTTGCCTGATGACTTTCGTAGACCCGCGAAGTAATCGCTTCGTGCTTTTAATTTTCTCGGCCAAGATTCACAGGGTTTCTTCGTCTTAGAACGTAGCCAGAATTCTCTTCCACGATAAGTTACTCGAGCAGTGTGCTTCCGAAGGCGAAGGACGTGTCTTTCGTTCACGATTAGACACCTTTCCTGCCTCGGCGGGCTTGTCTGTCATCCACGGACACGTTCCCCTTGTCGTAGGCACTTCTCAAGCAAAGACGCGTCTCCGATTGTGTGGTGACACTCGTGGGTGATAGTGTGCAAGTGGTGGTGGTGCTAATTGTGGGCTAAACAACGCGATTAAACTACACGATCGCGAATATCGGGAGGTAAACTGGAACGAGGGACGAATCGTAATCGTGTCGATTGATACCGATGCAGTGGAAGTGACGTATAACCGATGTTCTAAAAATTCCCTTCGGAGATACGTAAAAATAAAAGAAATAACGCACGTGACACTGGACGAGTGTCAAAAATTCCGTTTGAGAACGAAGGTCCGTTAATAAAGTGACAATTACATATTAATTTCGCGATTATTAAATCGAAAGGCAATCGGCGAGGTGCGAATATAATGAAAATCAAAGTCACGTGTGCGCTTAATTAAAATATCGCAAATATGAATGTTTCATTCGCGATCTATTAATATTTCAGACCGTGTATGCTAATAAACGTACGGCGACGGGAATTGCCGTTCGAAAAACTGCGCCAACGATTATGAGACCGGAAACGGAAGAACGTTGTAATACCCAAAACGATTTTTATTCGATTTTCAGAAATTTAACCAGATCTGTGAGCAACGTAGGAATAAGCTTGCTTCTACTCGATCGAATCGGAATTCAAATTTAAGCAGCAACGTTTTTATCCATTCGCGCGATGATCGAAATAGCTTGGACGAACATTTTTACCATTTTTGGATAAACGTGACGTAAAGTAAATCGGCCAGAATTTAAGAGAAATGACGAAAGTACGAGACAAATAATTCGCGAAACGTGTACCGCATAAGAAATTGGCAAATGGTCCGCCGCGAAGTAGATACAGTCGGTTCTTGTCAGACCTAAGACGACACGCTCGAGATACCCTGCCGTCGGCAGCTGGATAGAACGTGGCATGCTAGGAAATGAAAAATCCAACACCGCGAAACAGTGAGAAAGAAACGACATTTCCACGTCGATTATTCAAAGTGATAAAAATGGCGAGGAACGATAATAACGCGCAAAAATCTGAAAAATCGCGTCTAATGCTTGACACCAGTAAAACAACACGCCTCAAACCGTGGTATATAAAAATAATTCGAAATATTTCGTGTTTCCTAATCGTAAAAATATAAAAATACACGCGATTAACGACAATTGCTCGTATCCTACGTAAAAAATATCGAACACCGTTTCAAACCGGTAAACACTGCACGGGAAACGTCGAGGGACGCGATAGAGGTCGGAAAAATAGAAAATCGTGGTAAAAATTCGGGAGACCGAGATTGAAAAGCGTTGCCGATTTTAAACGCGGGATCACCTGCGAAATAATCTGCCGGCGAGCACGAATTGGCTGCGTTGGAGGGCAAAACGCAGGGCGCGCAGAATGGTCTTCGTAATCACGAGAACTCCATTGAGTACGAAAAATTAGACACTTCCACGATACTACAAAGGCCCCCTGATCGTGGCGGGAGTCCCCGTGTAACTGAGGGTCCGAAAATGAGTATCCAGCTTCGATCGCGAACCCGGTGGAACCAGTTTCGCCGGTCCGAGCAAAGGGTTGGTAGAAGAAAGAAAGAGAGGAAAAAAGAGAAACGGGAGAAAGAAAGAAAAATGCACGGACAGGCAGTCATGCAGGAAGGGTTACTGGCGGAACGCTGCCTGCGGAAGCGTTTTGTTGTTGAAATACCGCGTGGCAGTTAGCAACTCGATCGAAGGCCGCGTATAAACAGCTAATAATCAAACGAATCGTGTCATAAACAATCCCACGGTGGGGGCGGCAGAGTGGTGGTAAAAGTATAAATGAGTTTCGATCGCGGAGTGGGGTGCACTGGCGTGGAGGTGGGGGTGATCAGTTCGAAAAGCGTAGATAAAGCATGATCCGCTGAAAAATTTCGATTCGACTAGTGCCTCTGCGTTAGACCTAAGGGACCTAGTAGGCTTGTTCGTGGATCTAGGATCCTAGGACGTGGATCGAGAAGTGCACGAAAAAATGGGCTACTTCTAGATCCTTCTTGACAGATCTCAGGGGATAAAGATCTATCGGAAGTGTCAGAATGGAAGGAAATTCGTAAATCTAGAATGATCGTGAGGTTCATAGGAAGTTCGGATGCTTCTAGATTCTTCTTAGCAGGTCTCCTCTGATAAACGCCATCGAAAGTGTCAAAATCGAAAGAAATTGATATATAACTCGTGAGTCTAGAATGATCGAGAAGTTATAGAACTCTGGGATTCTTCTAGATCCTTCCAAACAGGTCTCCTCTGATGAGGAACTATTAGAGCTAACAGATTCGTACGAAATTCGCGACTCTAGAACAATTGCGAGGTGCACAGAAGGCTAGAATAGGATCTTCTCTGTCCAAAGGCTACCAGAAGTGTCATAGTCTAGCGAAATCTACGGATAGTACGATTTGTGAATCTCGAATGATCGAGAAGTACAGTAGCCTACAGTAGGCTAACACATTTCGAGCTTCTATTCAGAAAGTCTCCTTTGACAAAGCGTTATGACAAGTGTCAGAGTTGAAGTAACGGTATGACGCAATTGGAAAGTCCAGAAGTCTACAGAAGTCACTAATAGGCTTCTAGCATTGCCGTAGGTTCGAGAATCGTCCTTTGTCCTTTGTTTCGATTCGTTGGATCCTGACACTTGGGATAACCTTTGGTCACAGGGAAACTCTCGAGCGATTTCAAATCGGATCTTATCGAGGTATCGAAGCCCAACTTCTGAATCATCGGATGCGCTGAGATTTTGCGTAGGTTGCATTGAATGCGTCGCGTGCAGCGGAACGCGCATTTGATCAAGCCTGTGCTGCTACTTTGAAAAGCTGAACGGTACTTTCGCGTTGAATGCTTTCATTGACGTTTGTTCTTGTTTCTATTAAATCGTAGAGGCGATTGCACACGCCGGGAGAAAGAAACGAGCGCCGCGTTCCACTGCGAGAAGTCAGACAGTCGGTATAGGTCGGCTTTTCATCTTATTCCGCGACGACATGCCGCTAAACCGAAACGTATCGCGGCTCGTTTACTCTCGCGATTCTCTGCGCTTTGTAAGCAGTTGTCGGATAAATTTGTCCCTCCATTCGTTCAATGTCCATCTCGTAACTTCCATTTTCGGGCTGCTTCTAATTTCGGGCGTATCCTGATGGAAGCAGGAGCCCGAAAAGAGGGACAGAACGAGGCAAAGTGTCGAGAAATTGGCAAAATTTTGCCAACACCGACGTTTCGTTGGTGAAATTTTTCCAGGCTGGGTCAAAGTTCGAATTGCCTGTGCTCGTATAAATCTCGTAGGAACGTAACACGGATCACGGGCACTATTTCATTCCTCTGTGTCATCCATCGTCAGTTTAATCTTTTGCATCCCTTTACGCTGCATGTCAACACCGCCGTTAAAACCAGGAGCCCTGTTCCCTTCGCTGACTCGCGAAACTGACACCTCGCAGAACGCGAAATCTTTCCGGACCTCAGCTTTTCCAGGAACCCGTCAAATAACCCGCGCGTTTCGCGCCGTTGTCCGCGACCTTTGTAAACGTGGCAGAAAAATCCCGATTCCTCGCTCCTTTGTCGAGCGTATCTCGCGCACGTGAGTCGAGAGAAAAATCGGCTACCGAAAGATCCGGGCGGAAACTAAAGCCCCGCAGGTAGCAGCAGCGATCGGAAAAGAAACGGGGGCGAAAGTGATCTTGCCGGTCTCGTCACAGCGCCAGAACGCCAGTACCGAATACGTACACGTCGAAGATCGATGTGCCTAAAAAAGGTACGAAAAAAAAAGAAAAAAAAGAAGGAAAAAAGGGGGGAAAAAACACAACACACTGACAACAATATATACCGACTCTGTGAAAAAGCACGAGGTCGTTCCCGTTGTTGTCGTCTCCCGCTGGTGGGAGCCTGGGTGGTCAAGGTGGGGGGTATGTATGTTCCGAGGGTGAACGGTATGATAACGTCGAACAGGTCGACACGCGATGTATCGGTCGGCGAAGAGAGGAAAAAAGAGGCGGCGGTGGGGAGGGGGAGGGGGAGGATTGAAGGTTGCCCCCGAAAGAATCGAAAGTCCCGTCGAGTTCGAGGGGGGAGAGAGAGAGAGAGAGAGGGAGAGAGATAGAGGGAGAGAGGGAGAGATAGCGGGATCGAGGGAAGAAGAAAGAGTAGGAGAGGGTTGAAAGGGGTTGGGGGTGAGCGGTGGTTGCTTGCAAGGGCTAGTACATAGAAAAGAGAGAGGAAGACAGCGAGGAGAAGTTGAGAAGAAGGGGTAGGTCGGTATCGAAGAGAGAAGGGGATAGTGTGTGGTAGATGGTATAAGGTGGGGTAGAAGGAAAAGTCTGTCGGGTGGTAGGGGCACGGTACGGCGAGGGTGAGTGGGTTAACTGCAAAACCCGAT